CCACACCTGAAAACCAAGCTCCAGCAGATCTCAGGTTTGGTACTCCATAGTCAAACCCCGTCCAAGCCAACTTCTGAACACCCAGCTCCTGAAACCTCAACCTCTGCATGAGATTCCTCTTGGTCCTTTTCCACCCCATATTTAGAGGGGATCCCCCACAGTATGGTGGCACCAGGCACCAGCACTCCTGCAGGATGTCCTCCCCGTGCATCCTCCTGGCCACACGTGGTGGTTGAGTCATGCTTGCTGCAAACACTGCTCCTTGCAGCAGCTCACATTCTATAGCGGCTCTTGCAGAGCCTCTGCTGCCGGGCTCTGCATGCACAGCTTGTGCTTCGCACCTAACCAGCACATTTGCAACTGCCTGGCTGCTTGCAGGCGGCTGCTAAGCTTTGCACAGGGCTACAGGACCTGCACACACCACCTCCCCTGAGGCTACAGCACACAGATCTGCCCACAACCACTGCGGTTTAGAACGTATTTTGGAAGGTATTTTAGAAGGTATTTTTGCAGCAAACGCTCTCCTCTTGCTGCAAAAGCTCCCAGAAGGCTCCCAACACTCGACACTGGCATTTCCTAAGGCTCCCTGTACCTTTTTGCCCTCCTGCTTCCCTACAGTCCCAACCCCTTGTGCCACAAGAGGCCTTTTGGGTTTATCACAGAATCATAGAATCCCAAGGGTTGGAAGGGACCTCAAGAGATCATCTAGCCCAACCCCTGCAAGAGCAGGGTAACCTAGAGTACATCACACAGGAATAGCAGGCATCTGTGGTCAGCTAGCTCCCATTAGGCCTTGCCATGCATTTGTAATTAGCAGCACGGATGCTCTTCCAGTGCTGCTTTAATGTGTGTGCTTAGGAGGCAAATGTTTACCCATCGCTGCTAATAGCCACTGTCCTGTCCAAAGTCAAGCCAGCAATTTGTGTGGCCCAGCTGCAGTTTGGTTATCATTGCCAAGCAGGCACTTCTGCCTGTCTGCAGGCTGCTCCAACTCTCAGAATTTACTGGAGCCACAACATTAGGATCAACAGGAATTCAACTTAATGGCAAGATCCATGCAGGGAAACAGGCTTTCCCCATCAGCAGGCTCCGATTCTCTGCATTGGCTATGCTGGTCCTGTGAAGCGTTTGGAGCCTCTCCTGGTGTGAGCCAAGGGTGCTCAGGACCATGGCCAGACATGTGCCCATGCTTGTACCCATGTTCCTTTGCAATTGCTCAGAGCTGCAACTGCTTGTGTCTCGCAAGCAGCCTCAGACCCCACAGGCAGCACCGACAGGACAAGAAGGCAGCCCTAGGTCCCCTGCAGGCATCTGTCTGCGCTGGCATTGCGCCTGCACCTATAACAGCACCTATTGCCATGGACTTGTGGTGGTGCTCCTCACTAACCTCACACTGAGGGTTGCAGTACCTGTGCTGTGCGGCTGGTGTCCAGCTCCAGAGAGCACAGAGCAGTGCTCCAGCAAGGGACCCAGCCGGGAGAGGCAGGGCTGACCCCTCTCCCTGCAGAGGCCACCGGGCCAGCCCACAGCCCCAGCACATGCCTGCCACCAGTGCTTTTCTTCCCATCTCAGCTCCCAGTAGCGTGGGGGGAACTGAAGAATGGCAGCTCCAGCAAGCTAATCGCTTCCTCACTACCTGCAACCATAGCGGCTGAGTGCTTCCAAATGGAAAAGCAAATAAACAATCTCAGTGAATAAATACAGCCCCTTGAGTCAGTGTTTCTGAAGAAATAATAATTTCAAACTCCTCTCCTGTTTGTTCTCTGGGACCAGGGGACCCAAGCTGAGCACCTGAAGCCACCAGCACCACCGAGTGCTTGTGCTGTGTCCAGCCAGCCCCTCAGCACACACTAACAGCCCCTCAGCACACACTAACAGCCCCCCACCAGCCCTGCCAGCCCTCCACCCCCTCCAGATCCCAGCATCACCATTTAATGACAGAACTGCCACCCAGACCCTGCCTCACACTAGCATGCTTGCAGAGGTGAAGAAGTAGGACAATGAGCCTCTGTGCCAGCATTGTATTTCCCTCTGGTCCCTACAGAAATCAGGTTTGGTCTCAAGCCAGCCCAGGGAAGGGGCATCTGCTCCAGTATAAGAAGAGCAAAATACCCCTTAATGCTGTTTTGGACAACAGAGACAGCCAGCGGAACCACAAATCTGAACCTTCCCTCCAAAAGAAATTAGTTCCTTCAGGCCTCCAGGGATGGGAGATGGAAGAGCCATAAAACCCCACAATTTGAGGCTTTTTCTCTTTTTTTACCCACAGTGTGATTTCTACCTAGCAATACAGCAGGCAAGGCTGATGAAAACAAGACTGAAGGCAAGCACGTTCATGAAATAACACACATGGAAAGGAACACGGGTCCAATTAGCTTTTTGTGATGATACCTACAAATTCCAGAAGCCATGCTTCTATACCTGGTAAATAGTGGAAAAATGGATCTTAAAATCACGATACAGTAACACGGGGGAATACTATAGTAGGCAATTTGTCTGAGAGCCTGCTAAAGTGGTTTTCCTGCTATCTCACTCTCCTGTGTGGTGTTAACCTGCAAGGATGCAGCCTTCTATCACTTCTGTCCAGTGGGAAAGCAGAGTCCCACACTGATTCCCCAAACCTGGGGCATGTGCTGGGCAAGGTCCATACTGGCTAGCAGTGGGAGCCTGCTCTGGTTTGATGCTCTGAGCAATGAAGGTGATGGCAGAACATCCCAGTGGCTTTCCATCCCTGCATCCCACAGGCACCGTATCCACTGTGCATATCCCTCATTGCTCTATTAAAAAAAGAAAGGTAAAAGCCCATTTTGCTGGCTCCAAGCAGTGAAAGGACTGGCCACCCATAGCCTTTGCAACCCAGAGGAAAGACAGCTTGTGTCCCCATGGAGGGCAGGAGGCACAACCCAACAGTGCTGAGAACAGTGTCTGTCCCTCACTGCCTCCCAAAGTGAATCAGCAGCATTTTATTATACCAAGGCCCCAGTCCTTATGCAATTAAAAGCCAAGGAAGGTCCTTAATCCTTTCCATTACAGGTAAGTAATAGCTGGTCCTTTGCAGAGCAGCAGGAAAAGGAGGCACTTTATGGTCCTGGCCATGACGGAGCATGTTTGCCTGGCAGTGCAACCGATGCTGGGAAGGTTATCCCAGGGCTGTGAGCCCCCCAGATGTCCTAGAGAGCCCCTGATTTAGCAGCTGTGGGGGTAAACAGGGATCCTGCAAGGTAGGTCCCTCAGAGCATGGTTTTCAGTGCTCCCAGCAGCGTCTCCTGTTCCTACCCTCCAATAAGATCCAGATGTTGGATCAGCAGATACCAGACACCGAATAGATCGGCTTCAGGTTTCCCAGTAAGGACATCCCAAACGGAAGGTCACCAGACCTTCTCAGGAGCTGCCAGTACAAACCCTCAAAGTCAATCAGACCATAAATTGCCTGCCCATGTAGCTCCCAGGCTCCTCACACACCTCAGCTGGAGCTCTAGCACAGGGAGTGCTGCTGCCAATTGCTTTAGGCACCAAAGGATGAGGAGGAGGGGACATGGAGAGCACAGGTGAAAGCAGCCCCTGGCTTTGGCAGACAGTCATTAACACAAGAAACAAGGTTCAGGGCAGGTTGGTGGCACCAGCCACAGGCAGTGCTGGGCACGCAGACGTTGCCATAGGGTGGTGTGAGCGGGCAGCAGCTGCCCAGCATGTTAAAAGCAGGGGAACGAAATGCCAGGCAGTAGAAATCCCCTTTCACGCTATAATCAGTTATGCCTGGGCAATAGGTGCTGTAGTTAAATCTCTAATCCCATTGATACACCAGAAGCAGCCAAGAAATGGTCTTTTTATCCTCCTGAACAGCCAGATGGTTCAATCCTGCCTAATTCCCCTCCAGAAGCAGCAAGATCCTAACACCACCATTTCCTTTAGGAAGAGAAAAACCAAATACTCATAGTAAGGTCAAACTCTTGCCATGAATTCTTCCTTTTCTACTCCAGCCCAAGTTTCACTATCTATCTGCCTGCACACACCATCCTGTACCCCCAGAAGGATGCTGCAATAGACAGAGCAAGAGGGGGACCCCAACACTGGCAGTGCAGTGCCTTCACCTGGAATGAAAAGCCAGCCTTTCTGCTGATGACAAAGTTAACTATCAAACCATGTTTCCCCACCACAAGACATCCAATTTGCCTCCTGCAGAGCAATGCCACTCTGCAAATCTCTGGGCATTATGGGAACCATGGTATAAAAACAGTCCTGGCGCAATGACACCAAAACTGGTGCTGAAATTAGGCTGGGAACAGAACTGGCATGGCTGTTTCTAGCCCATAAACTAAAACATTTGTATATGGCCAGCCACCCACAATGATATTGCACATTGTAATCACTTGTAGCTTTTTTCCTGCTTCCAGCTTTGCCCCAAAAGTTGCTCCCTGGGCACCCCAATGGATTGGGCATTGGCAACTTCAAGTAGCTGCAAACCACAGGAACCCAGCCCAGTCATCCCCTTCAGCACTGACAGATGTTCGCAGCATGAATAGCAAAGATCTCAGTTCCCTGTCAGCCACCGAAACGCTGCCTCTGCCTCAGGGAGGGTGTCCAATCCCAGCTCCAGTGCTTTCCCACGCAACCAGGAATGCAGGCACATCCACCGCCTGGTCTGCAGTGCCCAGTAATCACAACCCCAAGAAGAGGAGGGGGGAAGGAAGGATACCTTCCCAGGTACACCCCTCAAGCAGGAGGCTTGCTGCAGCCCATGTCCACAAGGTTTCACTCTTGCAATGGGTTGTATAACCAGTCCAGAGATGGAGGCCAAACCCTTATTGCTCCCTTTGCCCAGAGACATGTAACACACACCTCTCTATCCCTCATCTCCAATCCAAATGGGAAGGACCAACACCATCCCCATCACAAAGGGAACTCAGGATCTTACAAGTTTCCAGCACACAGAATACCATCTCCAGCTCCCTATCCCCATACCCAACTGCCCATTGAGACACCAGAGCAGCACTACTCACATTGTACAGGACTGTGGTCCACCCTTCCATGGTGATGCACTGGAAGACGGTCAACACAGCAAAGAGGATGTTGTCAAACTGCGTGATCCCGTCATTAGGTCCTATCCACTCCCGGCATTCATAGCCTGGGGGGCAACCCTGCACCCCGCATGGATGGGGGGGGTCCAACTCCTCTAGTTCACCTGCAAGCACACAGAAGAGAGCCAAAGGAGGCAGAAGTAAGAGAGAAGCAGGGGACAGGTGAGGAGGAAAGCCTGAACACAGATGGGATTGGGGCAGAGCAGGGCACCCTGCTGAGACTAGCCCTGGCTGCACGCAAACTGTTCCCACGATAGCAACTTGTGTTGTCCCAGGTGTTTGCCACCCATGGGATGTAAAGCAAGTGCAGAGCCCTTTTCCCCACCTGAATTGTTTGTGTAGCAGGCTCGGTGCAGCTTCCCACTGTAGAATTCCAGACCAATGATGGCAAACATGAGGATAGCAAAAAAGAGCAGCAAGCCAATCTGGAGGAGAGGCACCATGGCCTTCATGATGGATTTCAGAACAATCTGCAGGCCTGGAAGGAGAAAGAAAGGGCACAGTTCAGCATGGTCATGCAAACCCCTGCCTGGGACACGTCCACACCACCTCTGGCAAAATAACAGTAAGCAGAAAGGATGGACAGTCATCTGATAGATGCAAAGAGGCCAGCACAGCCTGGAGGATTGAGGACCATGGAGGAAAGCACCATCCCAAGGGGGAGCAGGAAGGGCCAGGCTGCAGAGCAAGGCTCCAGGATGGCTGGTTTCTGGACCTGGTCCCGGCTCCGGACTTGGTGGGATGCACCCCTTGCAGCTCCTCCTCCCTCATTGCCCCATGGCATGGATCCAGCACACCGCCTCACCAGTGCCCAAGGCAGGAGGCACGGGAGGACCGGTGCTAGCAGCATCCTAGTTTCTTTATTTATCCCTGTGCCAGCATATGAAATCTTGCAGAAAACTGAAATCTCCCCTGAATAAACCTCAGTCCTGAAAGGATCCACCCACCGCCTTCTGGCCAGGGAAGCGGAGATGCTGGAAGGCCCCAGAGAGCTGCTGAGCTCAGCCTTGTGCCAGCACAGAGTAGGCTGGGCAGGGGGAAATGCCACCCGGGGACACCAAATACTGCCACCCTTAGAGTTCCCACTACATGGGGAGGTTTGTTCTGCTGTTCCCTCATTTCACCCTACATCTCTGAGGTGGCACAATGACCCCTCTCATGCTGAAGGACATCAGGAATGGATGCGGATACCCCAGGAGCATCCAACTTACTGGGAATGCCCGAGACGAGCTTCAGAGGTCTGAGCACGCGCACGGCCCGCAGCGTCCGCAGGTCCACATGGGTGTTGAAGTGTGTCCCAGCGGTGGCGAGGATGCTGCAGGCAGACAGGGAGAGAGCAAGAGTTAGCCCAGGCAAAGGTCTTGGCCACCCTGGTGGTGCCAAGAGCCACGTTCTTACACTAGGCTGGGGGAAGCCACAAGGAAGACCATATTCCTCGGCAAGTACAAAGATTCATTGTCTCCCAAAGCCCACATGGCCAGTGAGCCCCGTCTGATGCTGGCACCAAAGCTCATGGGACACTATGGTCAGCCAAAGCCACCCAGCCCTGGCAGCTTCCTTTCAATGCCGCCTACATACCAGGATGGCTGGGGACAGCCCTAAACCACAGTGCTGGCCATAACCCATGCCATGAAATCACACTCTGGGGTCTCAACACTGCCAATGGTGAGCTCATCACAGCTGCATGGGTTTAACCTCTGTTCCAGGCAGGTGGTACACCAGAGATGGGGTTTGCTCCCTTGATGGTCACCCCTGCTCCCCTAGCAGCACCTTTATCCATCAGCTGCTCTGGCATTTTCCACACATGGAGCTTCCTTGGAATTCCACCTCTGGGATTGCTGAGAAGACGAAAACCTCACACGCATTCAAAAATCTATAGTAATGAAAGTTTGATGACCTTGGAAGGCAATCAGCAGGCGCAGGAAGGACTCCAGAGGTTTTCTTTTAACATATAAGAGTTTTTTCAAGGCCATCTCTGGGAAACAAACTGGGGCAGTAGCAAGCTGGTGCACACCATGTCCAGCAGTGGAAATACTCAGAGCCCCTGAACTTGCTGGAGGGATGGAAACGCTGAAGCTTGGGCAGAGCTGCAGGAGCACAGACAGCAGTGCTAGAGCTCATGGCCTCCTCTCCCATCTGGGCTCAGTCCCCAGGTGCTGGCCAAGGAGGAGTAGTGAGGACTGCAGTAGAGGAGCAGGGGATGAGAGAGAAGGGGATAGGGAGGAGAGCAGGACAGGAGGAGGCAGCAACCTCAGGGTTGTTTGCAGTAATCTTAAAACTGAGGGAAATTGGGTCGTTGTTCCACTAATTCATCTAATTACAGGCCAGAGCAGCTCTCTGCCGCACTGAGCAATTAGCGCTTTCTCTCCCCCTCTCCCTGAGGTATGGCAGGTACCTGCCCCTCCAAAAAGGTGGCTGGGTTTCCTAGGATACCCTGACAGTAGAAATGCTCTCACATCGGCAAACCAGGTTGCTTCAACTCCTTTTCCTAGCCTCCTCTTCCTCTCTGCCTGAGCACAAGGGGTCAGCTGCAAAGCCCAGCACCAGCAGCAGTTGGCATCACTCCAGCACCATCCACAAGTCCCCATATACCAGGCTGCTTATCCTGATATATGCAGGATCTTTTACCCTTAATAGCACTTTCCCTTTCCCCCATGTCCCAGCCCGTGACCAGCCCCCACTACCCACAGAGTTGATGGGAGAGCAGAAAAGGGACTTAATTAAGTCAGGAGCTCCCAAAGGCTGGGGAGAGTTGCGTTGTTAAATTGGTTGTAAGATCAAAATCAATAAGTATGATAAAGCACTGCCACTCCACAGCATGTGGGAGAGAGCACAAGTGCTTTTATGTCTTTCACATAACCTGCCAGCGCTCCTCAAAATACCAGCGTAAAGGACACGCAGCAGCCAACACCGTGCTGGAGACCCCAAGACCCTCCTTCAGCTTTTGCTCTACATCTTCCAACACCTGGGCTCCAAACAGCCTCCCAAAGGGGTGGGAAAAGGCGTCTGCAGCCCCTGCCCTGACTCCAGCCAGGACTGAGCATCTCCAGGCCAGAAATACTCCCGGGCTGGATGCAGGCTCCAACCCTTCTTCCAAGGGCTTGCTGATACAAGCCCAGCTAGAAGGCTCCTAGCAGCCCAGCAGGATTGACAGCTCTCTCCTACCACCACAGAGCAACATGAGCTATAGTCCTACACAGCCAGGCAGAGTGACAGAGGTGGAGCCCTCACAGCTTCCAGCCCCATGACACATCTCCTCCCCAGGGCAGGACCACCACCTGAGGCACTACTGGTCCAGCACCGCAGTGGGGAGCAGAGTGCCCTGGCTGCAAAGTCCTCCGCTAACCCAGATTTGTTTGAAGGGCTCAGGAGCTGTCCCGCTGAGCCTCCAGGCAAGGTTCAGGCGATTTCAGGGCACTACTTCCCAGCGCTCTAAATTAGCTGCTAAGAATGGGACTCCTCTGTGGCAAGGTGACATGCTCATTGTCCTTGCTGGGGGACCAGGGACACCATGAGCTCTTTCAGAAGCAGGTTTGGACAGATCACCAGTGAGGTGGCTGCACTGCAGACATGTCTACTGACCAATGACCCACCACTATGAAACAGGTGCTTGCGCATCCTTTTGCAGCTCCTGGTGAGGGCGGATGCACTAGGAGCACACATTGCTGGGGCAAACCCATCCATCCCAGAACCACAGGGCATCTCAAGGACTGACCAGCTAACAGTAAATACAACACTCAAACCACACCCTCCTGCTCTGGACTTCAGCATCTCACCCGTTAACAGCTTATTAACACTATAAACATGCTGGGGGCTGTTTGGGGTGGTTTTCTTTTCAGCGCGCCACCCATATCACCCTGCACGACCCATTTCTGATTTACTTATTGACATATCTTAAGGCTTCTTGCAGCTCCTCTGGATGCACAGCACAGAGGTGAGACTCGGGCTGTGACAGACCCTTGTGCTGACACAGGGCAGCAGCTCCGGTATCTGTAGAACAATTTAAACCCTTTTCGATCATTTACAATATCTATGTCTGATGTGCTAATAATTATTCTTTATTTTTAGGCAAGGACCCAAACTAAAATTACATCTCACCATCCAAGTTATTTGAAAAAAGCTGCCAGATTGGGCTATAAAAATCCCAATGATCTCATGCTTTTCATCATATGTACTAGAGAAAAAAGAAGGGAAAAAAAGTGAAGGCGTTTTTATAGGTCACCCAGGCAAAGGGGTTAGTTTTACTTTTCAGAGGAAAGGGGGAAGAGACACTTCAGGTGGAGAAAAGAGGAGCTATTGGAAGAATGCAAATGAGAGAGGAGGCAGGATGGGAAATATATGCAAATCCCCAAAAGTATAATTGAATAGTGAGCAACCACTGGCAGACAAAAACATACAAGGAAGGGGGGGGGAATGCAATGCATTGTGTTTGCAACCAGGATGATTGTTTTATTTATTTGCGGGTTCTGGAGCAAGCTCTCACTGGACCAAACGCACTTGCAGGCTTTGGGCTGGCTGCATTGCTCAGCCCTCAGGCACTGCTCCAGCTTGCAGCAGCTGAGCAAAGCACACACCCTCTCTTCCAGCTGAAGACCTGCACCTATGGATTTCTCTTCCCAGGGGAGAAAAAGAAAATGGGATAAATCACATTTAAAATTACTCTCTGCTCTATGGGACTCAGCAGAGTAAACCATGAGCTATGTTCAAAGACCCTGCCTACACAAAGCTCTTTTACTAGCACAGAGCAAGCACCAAATTTGGGCACTATCACACACTACAGCACCCACTGTGCCTCCACTGCCCATGCCAGGGGCTGCACATTGCACCCACTCCAGTCCCAGTCTTCCCATCAGGAGCAGCACCAGCAACCCTGAAGCCTCAGCCCTTGGGGGCAACACACAAAGCTCAGGGCATGCTGCAGAGGACTTCACACCAGGGACAACAAGCAAAAGCTGAACCCCCAGATAATCAGATCAACCTTTGATTGTATCCCTTGACCGCTGCCATCAGGGACTGCTGCAGAGTCACATGCAGACAAACTGTCCCAGCAAAGGGCAGCTCCAGGGTGTGCTGGGTGGAGGGAGGGAGAGATCAGCTCAGACAGACTAATCTCAGCTCAAAATCTAGGGCAGGGAGGGTGCTGGCTGGCTGGCTGACGTGCAAATTAATATTTATAATTAAGTGGAAAGGCCCCCGAAGGCTTGCACTGCCACCTGACTTTACGAGGGAGACTACTTCATAATTAATACACTGGTCAAACGGCTGATGGAAAGTAAGTTACCTGATGAATTTACCCCATTCTTGCCCTTTTCTGCTGGTGAATCAATCCCTTCCTCTGTGCAGACAGCATTACGAGCAGTAGGGTGTACTCTAGGCTCTTGGGTCCAAACCCTGCCCAAGGCAGGGCCAGTGGGATTGGGACATCCACCCAAGCAGAATGCAGTGGTCCTGCTTTGGGGATGCCAAGGGACAGAGACACCAGGTCTAAGTCCTGCCCCCAGCAGAGTTCAGAGCAACCTCAAAGCCTCCATCATCTTTTCTTACTCTTTCTAGGTTTTGGGGCCATGACACAAGTGGATTGCACTGCTGCAAAGCCGCTGATCCTGTCTTTCCCAGAAGCTTCAAGAGCCCTGAACTGAGCATCAATGACACCCTGCAAGGTGTGATGAGGATGAGGGACAAAAGCTGCCTTCACTAGCCTTTGATCTGGGGTATGAAATGACCTCTCAAGGCTATCTCTTCCTGGAGAAGCCCTCAGGGTTTGGTGCATGAAGGAGCATCCTCTCTGCACCCTGTGAGCTGGCCAAATCCTGCACCTGCCTCCTGCCTCCAGCCCCCATGACACCTCTCAGTGGATAAAGGATTTGGCAGAGAGAGATGATGGTGAAACTGCATTTGCATATACATGACCTGGTGGAAACCTAAAGTCATTGCCAGGAGGCTGGAGAGAGCTGGTCCTGCAAGAGAAACATAGTGCTGGCAACCATGTACTACAGCACAACCTGTCTGAACTCATGCCAAAGGAGAAGTCTGAGACCCCAAGTATACCCACACAAGCCTGGGTGACACCTCCTCCCATAAGGATGTGGTGGAAAATAACCCCTTTCCTCCTCCCTCAAGCCAGACTTTTACCCCACAGCTCCTCTCCTGGAGCAAGATCTATGGCAGCGCAAAGTAGTGGTGCACAGGGACTTTGTAGTTCAGCCCAATGCTGTGCCCCCTGGGCTTCTGAGGGCTTCACCCCATCCTGGGAGCTCTGTAGGAAGGATGCTGGGCTGCAGAAGGAGCCCCTAGGGACTGCATGGCGCAAAGGGG